TCTTTGGCTGCCTTTACCATTCCCTCTGCAGCTGCTGGATCTAATCTCAAAGGATGTGTTATTACCAAGTTTCACCTTAAAACTGTATCATTGGCAGAAGCATTTGATATTTCCCTTAATTTCATGTTTACAATTATTCCCAGATTCCTGCTCCTTTCCACCAATTTGCAGCCTGCCCCATTGCCCTGCGGGGTTCCAGAGCTCTTTACACCCTCGTGCTCTTGCTGCAGACCCCCATATGAATAATCTGTGCAGCCAAACTTCACTCGTGTACGTGGCAGAGGTTGCCATATGTTTTTCCTTCCTCTTGTAATGCCTGCAGACTCGGGCTGTCATCATTAGGACAATGAGTGAGCCTGCCAGCCTGTTTGTTCCCTGAGGGGCTGGGAGATGTCACAGCAGGTGCTGCTGGTAGTAGTTTGCCATTCCTGCGTACTCCAAGCACGTTCCCAGAGGCACTTTGTGATCAGTGGGAGCAGTCAGCGCCGCCCAGGCTCACGGATCAGCGCTTCACCAAACACAGCGGCGCCTATAAAAGCGGAACGGCGTCAATAAATCTCTCTTCTTCTCCTCCACCCAGGAGGTTTGTCTGGAACTTCTTCCGTCTGGAAAACGAGCACCTGAACAACTGTGGTGAGTTCCGTGCCGTCAGGGACATCTCCGTGGCACCGCTCAACGCCGACGACCTGACGCTGTTGGATCAGATGATGGACCAGGAGGACGGCGTGCGGAACCGCCGCAAGAACAAGCAGTGGAAGCGCAGCCAGAGCATATCCTTGCGCAGACCTCGCCTGGCTTCACAGTACGTTCGGCCTCTCCTCATGGAGCTGCTGTGAAGGCAGTACCCTTTACAAAACTGCCCCTCCTGCGCTGGTAGCAGTGCGTCCAAACGTGAGACAGGCTCTTCCCCTGTTTCCGGGCTTCTGGCCGCCCCAAGATTTCACTTATCCTTTCATGAGATGTCACGTGAGATCTCAGACCCCTTCCCCTCCCATATCCAAACCCATGCGGGTTTTTCTTTCCACCCCTCATTCTTACACCCAAAATATTCCCCCATTTTGCATCCCAGGCTCTGCTGGCTGTGCATCTTTGCTGCTGTGCCTGCGCTCCAAGCGTTGCAGGATGCTTTGGTGTCTGAGCGTCACTTCTTCCCCCCAAGCACAGCTCCAGAGCCCTTGGCCAAGAGAGCAGCTCCTGGGGTGAGAAAGCACAGAATCATAGAATCACAGAATGGCCTGGGTTGAAAAGGACCACAATGCTCATCTAGTTCCAACCCCCTGCTATGTGCAGGGTTGCCAACCATCAGACCAGGCTGCCACATCCAGCCTGGCTTTGAATGCCTGCAGGGATGGGGTGTCCACAACCTCCTTGGGCAACCTGGACATGCAGGGAGCATTGTGCAGTAATGGCTGCAGAGCATCTTCCTGTTTCATCGCTTCCTGGGAGGGGGTGGGAGGAGGAAGCAGCAGCCTCAGCTCCCTGATGAGAGTTTTCTGTTTGTGTTTCTTCCCAGGTCCAAGTCTTCTGACACGAAGGTATTGATAGAGGACCTAGCAAAAGAAGTGAACACATGAAGCAGCCACGATCTCTTATTCAGCATCCTTTGTTTTCTCGTTCTGCTCCCCTCTTCCCCAAGTAACCCAATCTCTGGTACAGTTCCAGCTGCAAACAGGAGAAAACACTGAACACATTTTCCGAGCTCTTCCAGACCAGATCCTATGGACTCCAACAAGCTCACTGTGTTTTGTTTCTTTTCTTCTGCGTTAATTTTGATGTCCTATTTTAACAAACAAACAAACACAAAATAAAACATTTTACTTTCTTTTGCCAATAAAGAGGACAGTTCAGGAAAGAAGGATTGTTTACAGTCTCAACAAGGACATACACACCTGTCTGGATAAAGAAGCATCATAGGGACTCCCATTTGGGACAGTGCCGAGAACGCCCTCTGTTTCTGCTTGGCCCGGTTTTGACTGGTTGAAACCGGACTTAAGTTTTTAAATCTGATTATTTTTGGTTTTATTTTATTTTTTTTCTTCATATCCAGCGCTGAGGCACTGGCTGCACTTGCAGGGAAAGTGCACTTAGAGCAGTACCTTCATTCATGAAGCTACTTTTTAATTTGATGTAACTTTTCTTATCATATATATTTCTTTTTTTGGGAAATGTGATGTATGTGTTACGTATAGTTCTCACATAATTTATGGAACCTAACAACCATCTGAGAGTGCTTTTGAGTCCTGTGCAATGAAGGTTGTACCGGTGACGCGAACCCAGGAATGTGGATGGAGATGTGCAGGGTCGTGGGGTTGTGCACCTGTTTCCCTTTGATTGCTTGCTTTCTTTTCAGCTTTAGTTGAAACCAAAGCTTCTCTTCCTGACTTTGGGTTGCTGCTCCCACTCCCAGCACTGCTGTGGCGGCAGCTGAAGGCTGGCTTGCTGTGTGACAGCAGCACACATCGTCACACTGCCTGCTGTAAGGGAGGGCTGGGTCCTGCTCCAGTGTGAGCAGCTCGAGGCAGAGCCTTCCAGCATCATCATCCGGATCTCACGCTGGATTTCAAAGTCTTAATCACCTTTAGCTGAGCCCTGTAGGTAGGAGCAGCAGTGTGCCTTGCTCTCTCCTCCTGCAGCAGAGGCAGCACACGACAGGTCCTGCCGGAGGTGTGTTGGGCTGCCAGCAGGAGGTGGGCTCTGCTCATTGCATCCTTGCCCTGCTGTCTGTTGGCTCCCGTCTGGTTTCAGCGATGGGATTGCAGGAATCCCTGCTGTCACATCCTGGGTTCTGTTCTTTTGCCCTGGGCTGGTAGCACGGCTTCTCCCCTGACTGCTGCCTTGCATTTGCTCTGATTTTACCCGCTGTGCTTTTCGCCCGGAGGATCTGAGGAAGGAAACTCAGTTCTCTTCTTTTCACTTGGAATAGGTTAAAACAAAGTGGTGGTGGACCTGTGCCAGAGCAAGGTTGGTGCTGCAGGTTGGGAACTGCAGGCTGCAAGCAGTCAGTTTCTTGCTGTGTAGTTTCTCAAAGCCTTATGGAAAGCCTTTCTCCTTCCTGGCTCCTTCCCTTCCCTTTATTTTTGTTTCTGCCTTTGCTGCCAGAAGAAATAAGCAAAAAGGGGAGGCGGTGTGCTGCAGCTGGCAACAATTATCTCTCAGAATAAAGCACCATTCCCTTTGGCAGGGAGCTCCCAACCTGCCGGCGGCCTCAGAGAAATCAGGAGGGCACATTCCTCCCAAACCAGCCCTGTGGAACCTGCAGCCATCGCAGCAGCATGGATTGGGATGGAGGTTGGCAATGGGCTGGGCGAACTGATGTCTGCAGGGGCCTTCAGCTGCGGTGGGTGCCCGCACGATGTGGCACCGTGCACACAGGCGCAGTGAGCTGCTGCCTTCAGCTTCCCTTTAACTTCAGTTCTTATTCCAGAAGGTGATTCCGGGTTGTTTTGTCTCCTTGGAAAAGAGGGTTTGGGGCTCCTAGGGGAAGAGCGGATGATCCTTGCGGCAACCGTGCCGCCCACAGCTGGCCTCACTGCTGCTGGAGGGTTAGCCTGGCCCTGGGAACACCACTGGAGAAAGGCAGGTCTGTGGGAGGAGGAGAGGAGAGGGCTGCTGGCACCCTTTGGTGTCCAACCACGGCCTCATCCTCTCGGTATTGGGGCTGCAGAACGCCCCGGCCCCTCCCCATCCCTGCCACGTTGGTCTCATGGTTCTGCCGCCCCGACCTGTAGATGTCCAAAGTAATTATGGAGTGTGATTAGTCCTCTGTGGGTGCTTGCTTTCTTCCTTTCTCTTTTGCTATCCCCTTCTCCACTCTTCTCTCTGGCTAAGTGGAAAAGGTGAGGACAAAGACTTGCCGCTTGCTTGGACTCATGGTGTACTGTGACTGCGCTGTTAGCTGTCTCCTCTTTCCTTCCCAAATGGATATCATTTCTGAAGTGTGGAATAACCCTTCTTGATAAGTAGGTTTTAAAAAAGAAAAAGAAAAAAAAAAAAAAAATGCACAATGTGATACTGTTTCCTAGTTCCTAGGTGGTTGTATAAAAGCAAAGTTACTGTGATTGTGTTTTTAAGAGGAAAAAGTGATTGGTTACTCAATCTGTCCTTTTTTTCATTATTACAAGCTCTTTGTTTTCCAATGACCTGACGCTCGTTTGTCGCTGCTCTGCGCCCGCCTTCCCCCCCTCTGTGCTGTAGGGCTGCACCCACCGGGTCCCCAAATCCACGCCGTGGGGCTGTAGGGCCTGGCAGCTCCCCAGTGGGATTTGCGGTGCTGCCACCGGAAATTGCGATGCCCCTGCCCTGCTGGGGCTGATTTAAGAAGATAACGGCGCTTTCTCGTGCTGGTGGGGGCCGGAGCTGGGGGGTGGGGGATTAAAACAATTTCATAATCCCAGCGATTTCCTCCGGGTCCCGGGATTATGAAACCAATGATGAATAGCAAAAGCCGCAGCGTGCAGCGGGACCGCCTCGCCCATGGGCCCTGCAGCTCCCCAGCGTGTCCCGTGCCTGCAGGTAAGTGCTGCCCAGTGTGGGGGGATCGAGGTCCCGGCGGTGGGATGAGGCTGTGCAGGGAGGGGTACGCCCTGGGGGCTGCTGGGCTTTGGGGTGAGGGCACGGCTGTGGGGTTCAGCCTGGGAGCAAGCAAGAAGAGCCAGGATGTGTGGGTGATGCGCATGGGATGCTCCAGCACTGTGGGTGAAAGATGCCGGAGAAGAACCATGGGGCGCTCGGGGATGGGGGAGCGCTCTTGGGGTGCGTGGGGGCCCTTTGTTTGCACAACCAGAGGGCGTCCCATGGGTGGCCTTGGCACCGCTCTGGGTGCGCCGTGTCCCCGGTGTCCCCTGGGCTGCGTGTGACCGCGGTGGCCCCGTGGCCGCCTCCAGCTCGGGTGTCAGCATCTGCGCTGGGTTTGGCTGGGAGCCCTGCCATGGAGCGGGTGGAGGAGGAGGAGGGGGAGGCCGGGCGGGAGGCAGGGCCGGCCGCAGCCAGCAGCCCAGCCAAGCGGCGGAGCTCCGGCGGGGCTGGAGTGGCTGGGATTTGCTGCTTTTTTTTTAATTTCCTCCCTATGCTTCCTTCCCCTCTTCCGCTTTCTTCTCCCTCCATCCCGGCCCTCTCCCGATGCTCGGGGTAAGCCCTGCCCTCGTGGCTGTCCTGGCTCTGTGGGGGCCCACTGTGACGGAGGGGTGTTTCTCGTCCCCAGCACATTGCGGGCTCCCTGGGAGGGGATGAGAGGCTGCTGGGCCGCGCGGGGCACGGTGGGCTTTATCGGTGCCGTCGGGAAGACGCTTCCATGCAGGGTTTGTGCTCTGAGGGCTTGGCATCACTTGGGGACGGCCACATAGGCCACAGGCGGGCTGCCCTCATGCACTTTCTCCTCCCAGGGCACATGGAGGGGCCCCGTCCCGCAGAGCCCCCCCGGGGCCCCCACGCCGTGCTGGAGGGCAAAGTGAAGGCGCTGAAGGAGAAGCGTGGAGCCGAGCGGCCCTCGCCCAAGAAGGCCCGTGCCCGCAAGGGGAAGGCTGGAGCTGAGGAACAGCGGGTGCAGCTCCGCACGTACCTGACTGATGGGCTGCTGGATGGCACTGCATCGTGGGGGGAGCGGGGGGGGCTGGGGGGCTCTCCCCCTCTGGTCTCTGCTGGCAAGGAGGTGACGGAGGGCCCGGAGCCACTGTCCTTGGCTGAGAGGGTGGAGAGGAACCGGCAGCTGCTGCACGAGGTGCTGGGGATGCACGGTGCGTGCCTGGGCCTCTGCTGTCACTTCAGGTCTCTGTGGGGACCTCTCCTATGGAGGTGGGCCCTGGGCAGCCGGTCTGCGGTGGGGGAGGGCTGGGAGGGCTTTGCCATTCCACCTATTCCCACCTATGCCATTCAATAGATCTATGACTCTATGACTCTCCAGTCTGCATCCCCACAGCCCTGGGGTCTTGTGCCCATTTCCTGGGCTCTCAGATGGCAAAACATGCTTTGGAGAATTGGCCCCAAAGGCAGTTGGTGTGAGGCTGGGAGCTCCCAGCGATGCCTTCCCTTTTCTCCCATTCCAGAGGTGCCAGCAAGTGATGGCGACTGGGACTCAGGGGTCTCACTGCAGGATGCTGAGGGATGCAGGTAGGACTTCAAATGCTTCAACTGGGGACAAACGGGTCTGAGACGAATGGGGCGCTGGGGTACCGTGAGGGGACAGAGCAGAGCTGGTGCCAGGTGTCTCTGACAGGAGAGAGGAGTGGGACAGAAATGTCTCCCCAGTGCTTAAGAGCTTACGGGTGGTAGGAATGCATAATCTCATTGGCCTAATGATAAACCTCAGCAGTGGGGCTAAAAATATGAGGAGGGATGGTCGGGAGAGAGGGGCTGCAGCAGCAATGCTGGGGGCAGCATGGAGGAGGTCTGGGGACAATTTGGAGTGGAAGCACTTACATGGCAATGATCAGTTTTCCGTTATTCTGGCATCTGAGGCTCAGTTGGTGCTGGTGGGCACAGGTGGGATGCCTCGGGGAAGCCAAAATTGAGGTTCATGGCAGTGGCTCCCCACAGTTTGGCATGGGGCATAGCATACCTATGCTATCCAGCTGTGGGCAGGCTGGGGCGAGGATCCCCAAAGTGATTGCCGAGCTGATTATTTTAATCAGGAGGATTAGGGCTGCAGCCAACGGGGGGAGGAGGGCAGTGCAGGAATGGGGCCGTGCACGGTTGTGGGTTCCCCCTAGGGCAGGGAACCCCTGTGCACGTGGATAGAGGAATGGGGCTGAGCACAGCCCAAAGCTGCAGGGCTGGGGCAGCACCCGCTTCGGTTTGCTCACATGCCTCTGGGATGTCCCTGGTGCAGGTCATGGCCCCAGGCTTGTTGCCGAGCCCCCTAAATTGCTGCTACTGCAGTGCGACATCTCTGGGGCTGCCTGCAGGGGTGTCCCCAGTGCCTGCAAGCCAGGCGCCGCTTTCTCCCCGCAGAGCAGCCCCGTCACTGCTAAACCACTTTTAATCCGTGTTATTTTTTGCTAATCCTTCCCTGCAGGGCCTTTGTTCCCGGGCAGGAGCTCGAGCTGAGCCCACGCCATGAGCAGGCCAAGCAGCTGCTGCAGCGCGCCCGCATGAAGGCTCGCACCAACCCGCTGCGTGCCAGCCACGACCTCCTGCTGCTGCCCACCGCCGCGCACCCCAGGTGAGCCCTGCGCCGTGCCACATCCCGCCCCACATCCAGCTCCTACCCTGTGACTGAGTCCTGACCCCTGCTCCCTTTTGGTATGCATGACCGCCCCAGTGGAGGTGCGGCGCAGGGGCCGTACGCGGGGTCATGTGGACTCAGTGCTGCTGGGCTCGTTAGCCACGCTCCTCACCCCATGGCGGAGGATTGTCCCCGCAGCTCGCCAGTCCTCTGTCCCCACTGCAGGGAGCCCAGCGGGACACCGAGGCCCAGCGTCACCACAAGAGAGGTGGAGGGCCCGGCGGGCGGCAGTCTGAGCGACTCATCCAGCGGGGAGTCGGGCTGCAGGGAGCCCCGGCGGCCACGGGGAGCCTCCCCGTCCCGCGTGCGCTTTGAGGACGAGTCGGCCCGCGACGCTGAGGTGCGCTACCTGGAGCGGCTGCGGCACCGCCGGGTGCTGGGCTCAGCACTGGAGCGCAGCGGTGGAGAGCCCCGTGGGCACCCCGGGGATGGCCCTGCCAAATCCCGTGGTGGTGATGTCCCTGCTGGGGGCAAGTGCCAGGCCTGCGGCTCCCTGCTCGGTGCCGCCGTGCCGGCTGAAGGCAGCCCCATGGCACGGGGACGGGAGCGCACGGGTCCTGGTGCTGCTGCCCAGCCTGAACCCAAGGCCCGGCCGCTGGGTCCTGGGGGGTCCCCGCTCTGGATCCTGCCTTCCCGGCAGCGCATTCACACTGAGAAGATCAAGGAGACTTATATCGGGAACGTCGCCCGTGGGGATGAGGCGGACTCGGCACTGGAGAGCACCGACACCTCCGATGGCTGCCGCACCGACAGCGAGGAGCCGCGGCCCCGCAGCCCCCACCCACGGGGGCATCGGGAGCCCCGGGCTCGTGGCCACCGCAGCCCCCGCACCCCAACGCAAAAGGAGAAGGGCACGAGTGTGGCCGGGGGCTCGGGGACGCTTTGTCCCCCACCAGCGGGTACAGCTGGCAGCCAGGATGGGGGACACACCGGTGAGATGGCGGGCAAAGGAGAGCCACTGGTCCCCTCCTCGAGGCCAGCGGGGCCTTCCCACACCCCCTCCATCATCACCACTACAAAGGCCTGCTCCCAGGTGCCTTGCAGGACAAGTGTCCCTGCTAGCAGCCACCAGTGTCCAGAGCCTGATGCTGGGAGCACTTTGCCCCAACCCAAGGGTGCGGGGCAGCGGCGGGGGCCCTGTGGCCCTGTGTGGCTCCCGGGGAGCCCCCTGCGTGCCTTGTCCACTAATAACTGCAACAACACCCATGGACAGGGCTGTGGAAGCCGCCCCCATGGGCTGGGGACACAACCTGGGGAGACCACCAGGATGCCCAAGGCACAGCACGATGGGAACGCAACACCTGGGTGAGTGGTGAGGGACTATGAGCATCCCTCCTCGGTTCAGCACCAGGCTTGGCCTCATGACATAGAAGTCACATTGGAGCAGGGTGAGGATGTTTTTGGGGGCAAGCTACTGCTAAACACTGTTGGGCATTGTCCTGTAGGGAGCCAGCACGGGCAACAAGCCGGAAGGGCAGTGGGGATGCGGCATCCTCAGGGCTGAAGCGGCTCCTATGCAGCCTGAGCCAGAGCACCAGGCAGCGCCTGGGTCGCTTCCGCTGCTACAGCATGGAGCAGCTGCCCGGCCCCGCACCCAACGGCCCCAGCGTGAAGCGGTCGCCCTCGCTGCAGGCACTGGTGAGCCATCCTCTGCAAGGGGGAGATGGGGCTTTGTTGGCTTGGGAGGGCTCTGGAGGCTGGGGAGGTTGAGGTGTACGTAGCAGGGCGCAAAGTTTTGGTGCCACGTGTCTCACCGTGTCACACTTCTCCAGGTGTCACCGTTCCGCCAGCCCCAAAAAGCCGCTTCCATACAGAGCCTGCACAGCCTGCTGGGCAGGGCGCCCCGAGCCAATGCGTACCTGCTGTCCCAGCCTGGGGACGGGGACAGGTGGGATGGGAACACAGCCACGCTTAGCCCTGGCCTGGTGGTGCAGTGCTGGGCTCACAGCATCTCCCCGCAGGAAGGCAGCCTCGGGGCCACGGCACTCGCTGAGCGTGGAGGACATCGGTGCACCCGACCGGCCGCGCATAGTGGGGCGTGTGGTGGAGGTGTTCCCCGATGGCACCAGCCTGCTGGAGATAGAACGGCCACCACACGGCTCCTTCGGCTTCCAGGTCACCTCTGGGCACGGCCGGCCCGACACAGGTACTGTGGCCGCGGAACGGTAGACCAGCTAAAGTAGGAAGGGACCTTAGCGAAGACCATCACTCATACGGGTTTTGTGCGCTGGCGGCTCACCTGGCAGCTCAGTTGCCTGCACCTCTGTCTGCAGGTGTCTACGTGCAGGAGATGGCGGACGCGGGCACGGCCAAGCTGTACGCGGGGCTGCTGGGGGTGGGCGATGAGATCCTGCAGGTCAACGGGGCTGCTGTGTCGGGCCTGGGGCTGGCACGCATCCGGGAGCTGCTGTTGCAGGCAGACAGCCTGGCCCTGCGTGTGCTAAGGCAGCGTCCGGCTCGGCGGTAGCGGCGCGGCTCCAGGAGGAGTGGAGCGGTCTGCAGGTGCTGCCGGAGTCCTGCATGGAGCTGAAGTGCAACAAGGACTTCAACAAGACAAAGGGCCTGGATCTGCCCTGCTTATGTGCAATGCACGGGTCCCTGCGGGGATGGGGACGGCAGGGCACCCTGGCAGGCAACGTGGGACAAGGACCTGCCCCTGGCATGGGGACATCTCAGCTCTCCGGCCCTGGATTCTCCCTGCCTCAGCTGGAAACCTCTGCCCACGAGCTGGTGGGTTTCTCTTAAATTATTTCAAACTGCAAAAAGAAAAAAACAAATCACAGAACTGTAAATATATATATATATGTATGTATATGTGCAATGACAACAGGTGGTGGTTGTGTGTATATGTAGGTAATGAACGTGCTGCGGGTGGCACTCGGGACGGGGATGATACCTGGGTGGGGCAGAGCAGAGCAGGTGGGGCTGGGGGGGGCTGCGGGTCCTTCACAGTGGTGGTCTCACAGCTTCTCCTGCCTTGGTGCCCAGGCTGGGGTGTGCTGTCTGCTCCTGATGGGATGGAGCTGCTGCACTCTGGTGCCACACAGGCAAAGAGCCCCCAAGCTTGTCCCCGTTACCACAAAAGAGACCGGTGTTTTCCTCTGCCGTCACACACCGGCAGCAGCAATGCGTTTATTTAGGATTCAAGGGAGGGGCAACACCACCAACAGAAAAAGCAAAGACAGTTGGGTAGCAGTGACACCTGGACAGACATGGAGCACGGCAGCAGGGCTGCAACCTGGCACAGTGTGTGAACTGAGCACTCCTGCGTGGAGCATCAGGAGCCGCTCCTGGACGACATACAACCGTACTGAAAACCCACTCTCAGAGAGGTCTGAAGCCCAGAGCACTGTGCAGACACTGCCAGAGCCTGCCTTTGGAAAGAGACAGTACGTATTTCTTACAGCGTAACCAAAAGAGACATGACGTTGTGCAATGACTGAGAGAACTGCCAAGATCACTTGTGCAGGTTGGCGTTAAGGGCACGTGTGCGTTCATTACAAGAGGAGATGCTCCAACCTGGCAGGGCTGTTGGGTCTCCCCTCATCCCAAGGCTGCAAAAGGCACAGTGCCACCAGTGCGTGCAAGGGCTCAATAGGAGGGACTGGGCAGACCCAGAGCCAGAAACCACCAGGGCTACGTGTCCTGGGTGACAGAGTGCTTCAGGTGCTGAATTTCCTTTCTGTGGAGTGTGGTTCTGGAGGCCTGCTTTGCAATGTCAGCACCAGTCAGCTTCCTCCCCCAGCCCCATCTGAGACCCAGATGGAAGGCACAAGTCAGCCTGCCTCCCATCTTTTGCTGCTCTTCCCCCTCCTAAAGACGGGAGCAGACTTCACTGCAAATCTTTTTCTTTCCTGAAGCATCACCCCTTCCTCTTGTAATCAACTGCACAAAACCCATCTGTATTTCTCCCCAGTAACACTGCCAGGGTGAGCTCTCCTCACAGCATTTTGCTATCCGTGCCTGGCCAGCACTGCTGAGGCAATGCCCTTGCCAAACAACCCGAAGGTAACAAAAGCACTGGGAAGTGATACAGAACGTGACCTGGCTCTGAGCTTCCTGGCTCTGGGTTGCTTACAAGTGAAGTTCCCAAAAAAAAAAAAAAAAAAATAGCAGTTGGGGAAAATTAAGACATCCTATTTACAAGTTTGTGTGCACTTAAGGTACACAGTTAGGCCCATTCCACTGATAATGCATCCTGCAGCTGCAGATGAATGCGGCTCCAACAGTCATCAAAAATCACTAAAAGAACTTTTCCTTAAAAAAAAAATAAGTTATTTTAGACCTGACAAATCACTTGCCAAAGGGAAGCAGCTGTTAAACAGAAGCTTGGTTATACAAGGGGAAAGAAAGCATCAGTCAGGGAGCCGGAGAGGCTTGTGTAACAGGAGGTGACTTGACGAGCTGTGTGAAACCAGCCTCGGGCTGATGCCCCAGCCCTGCGTGTCCATCGAAGGCAGGACAGCACACCTGCAGCTCACCTACCTGCAGCGTGCCAGCTCCTGCCTCGGGGTCCTGGATGTGAATGCTGCAGGGTCTTGGTGCTAACTGGAAGGCGTGGTGCTGGCTGGGGCTGCCCTTCCTTGCTCTGGGTGCGTGTTGCTGCGGGGTTTCAGCTGCTCCTCCCAGTAATGCTTCTGGCTGGCAAGCATCCCACAGGCTGGCGATGCAGTTTGTAACGCTCAGTGAAACAATTCCACCCCCCATACCCTGCCAAGGCTCCCTGCTCCGTGTCCGCACAGAGGGCTTGGGACTGCTGCAGCTGGCTCATACCCACATAGGGTTCGGTCCCCTCCAGGGCCTGGGGACCAGATGGCAGCACCGTGGGGCAGGAGGCAGCCCGACGGGATCCGGGAGCCACAACTGCTTCCTGTCCTCTGTCTGCCCTCCCCAGGGCTGGGGGAGATGTTGGTGGAGCCAGGCCTTGGTCCTCGGAGAATGGTGAGAGCCGGGCACGGGTCTTCTTGACAGGGATCTCTGTGGTCGGACGGAAGGAGTTTCATTTCCCCGTGCTACAGGGGAGAGGAGGCGTCCAAGGAAGTTCAGTCCATCACAGGACAATCAACAGGACCAGCACCACCAGCAAGATGACAAAGAGGACGATGATTGCGCACCACTGCCGCCGATCTGAAAGAGAAAGGAATGGTCGGTCCTCTTACTTCAATAGAAGGAAAGCTGGAGGAGAGCTTTTCCTTACCACGCTGCATTCACTGTGCTTTCCTTCAAAAGGAAAGCTCCCTCACCAGCAGAACAAGCACCGTACCCTTCTGCAGGCTCCTCCCTACTGCCTGTGGGGTGACAGCGTTTCTCTTCCAGGATGCAGCTGCTTTTTGGGACTGCGGTGTGGAATTTTGAGGTTTCTCCCCAGTCAAGTTCAAACAGATTTGATAAGCTGGTTCAAAAGTGATCAGGAAGAAGTAGAGAGCTGCTTTGTGTTACTGCTTGTGGATTGACCTGTTTGTGCTCTGCACTGCCTCTAGGATCTGCCTTAGGGAGCTCAGCACACCACTGGAGAAATTCTTACTTTTTTTTGGAAAAGATATGAATGCATTTTACAGAACAAAACCATACCAGCCTGTACTGCTGCTCTACATCGTCTGACACCGTCCTGCACCTACAGTGAAAGTTTCTCCCATCTGGATTCAAGCTCGCCTCCGACTTCCTGGCACCAGGAACCCCACTGTCCCTGGACACAGCGCAAGCTGCGACCGCACCGCAGAAGCCACATGACTCGAGCAGGGCCTGCCTTCCCCCACATGAGCTCTGTCTGCAGCAAGCTGTGAGTGGGCGACGCCGGGCTGCACAGCTGCTCTCCGTCCACGGCCACGTCTGCAGCGGCAGACATCCGGCCCCTGTGAGATGGTGCAGTGTGGGGATGGAGCTGCTGGCACCACTCACTGAGCGCTGCAGCCAGCCCTGGGAAGAGCCGTCCCATCAGCGCCAGCGGCAGCACGGATTCCCCGTGAGCTCCCTGATCCTGTAGAGCGGTTCCCTCCTCCCTCCCTGCTGCTCCCACCCCCCACACGCGAGCACCGGCAGCGGAGGAGGCGACGCAGAGAGCGCCGCAACGCGGGGAGCGAGCGGCGGGGACTTCCCGGCAGGCACGAGCTTCCTGTTTGCTCTGCCCACGGCACCCGGCCGGCCGCCGGCCCACCACGTTCAGGCACAGCCTTATAAGGACTTTTCTCGTGGGCTCAGCCTCCCCAGCGCAGAAATCGCCTCTCCTCACCACCAGGAAACACGTCCGACTGTCCGACTGTCCTCCCGTCGGCAGCGCTGGCGCCAGCAGCGCGCAGGCAGGCGAGGTTGGCAGAGGGACTTGCTGCAGCTGGAGAAGGCACGCACGGTGGCAGTGTTTTGCTCGGCAGGTGGCCTAGGAAACCTCGAGCAGCACGAGAGGCTGCAGAACTCTCCTTCCTTATCGTCTAAGAAGGGGTTTTTCCCAGTGCAGCAGTAACAACATCAATAGAAAGGCGCCTGTATATAACACAAAGCTGAGGGCAGCCTGCAGAGCAGTATCTGGGCATGAGCAGCTGCAAGGTTTGGACGCCTTCTCCCTCTTTAACCTCTCAAGCAGCTGGAGCTGCTCCCTCCCCTCTACTTGGCTCTGGGAGCTCATAGTGCTCCGTCCCTAAAATTCACAGATGTGCCTGCCCCTTTCCAGGCCCAGAGCCCACCCCCCTGGACCTACCACTCGTCATGTGAGACACTTTAGCAAGCTTCTTCATGACGTTGTCGAGCCGTGAGTGAGTGCTGTCCAACTCGTGGGAGAAGTCATCCAGCATCCTGGGGACAGAAGCACAGTGGTGGTCAACAAGTACAGCAATAGGTGCCTTTGGCATCATTTGCTGCACTCATGCACGCTCATCAGAACACAGTGGATGAGAAAAGCAACGCAGCATGGTCTCCTGAAAGCACCCAAGGGGGAAAAAAAAAAACCCTGCTGAAGCAGCAGCTCAGCTTTGGTGGAAAGTGAGAAGTCATGGGGACACCTGTTGGACTGGTCCCCCAGCTCTGCTTATCTCTAAAAGGTGAGCAGTGGGGGTTTCCTCCTTTGAAGATGAAAGTTTTGCTTATAATCCATGATTAGCAGTGAATGTGTAGATCAAGGTGCCAGTTTGGACTTTAAATCCCTTCTCTTGCTGAGGGCTAGCACTTGAAGCTAAAATCTTGTTCCACTCTGGTATCAAGCAGGACTGAGATCTGCAATTGCTTTTAAGGTGCTTTTTAAACTCTACAGAAGTTACCCCTCCAGTTCCTCCACACAGCAACTGTAACAGATCTGAAAGCCTTCCTGTAGCTGTGCTTTGTCAGGGCCAAGAACCCACCTGAAGAGAGACAAAGCACATCCAGGATCAAAGCAATCCCAGCCATCTCCAGTGAGCAGAACTTTAAAACGTAACACTCTTAAAAGCACGGAGAACAAAGAGTTGTAGAAAAAAAGCCGTATTGCCTTAATTATCTGCTAGCAAGCACTGATGGCTTATGTGGTGACCTGGAAACAGATGCATCACACCAACCTGCCGTGGCCAGGCTTCACACAGGAGGTGCTTTGGAGTTCCTCCTATTCACCAAAGACATCACAAGAGCTCACAGCCCTCCAGACTCTCGTCGGTCAAACAAGGGGGGTTTAGGCACAAACCCTTCGTGTCTGTTAGTCTACACAACTGAGAATTTCATGCACTTCTTTCCAAAGGAGTGCACAAGGAAAGAAATCTAATTTATAAGTAAATGGGTGGATACAAGCTACTTTGTGAGCTACCCTTTAACCCTTTGTGTGGGTGAGGATTATTTTTAGCTTTAACTATGAATGCAGCTCTGTGTGACAAGGCTGAGCTCTGAGCTCCTGGGGCACAGTTGTCTGGGTTAGCACAAAACCCCACGGAGTGGGAAAGCACCCACTATCCTTAACAGGCAGCACTGCCTTCCCTCATCCGTTGCACACTGCTGGCTGCTAGAAGCCAAGGAGCTTTACTGCGTGCCTTAAGGGTGGTGTTTAAAAACGAGAGAAGAGAAGGAGTTTAAAGAGAGAAGGGAAGGTAAACTGGCAGCTAAACCTGCCCCAGGTGCAGGTTTGAAAGGAACATGGCTGCGGTAGGATCCTTGCAGGCAGCAATATGAAATGCTTTCCACGGCCTGAAATCAAAGGCAGCCTAAGGTGCTGCAGATGAGCTAGGAGAGGCTGCCTGAGGGACCAGGAAATTCAAGGATGCAACAAGGGGTATCAGCGAGGACCCCCAGCTGTGCTGCAGCAGGCTCCACACCTGCAGGGCCTTTGGCACCCTGTGACATACTTACACTGCCTGCTCCTCCAGCTCCCCGCCGATGCGCTGGGACATGTTCTTCAGCACCCCAATGCTGCCAGAGACCAGCTCCAACTGCTCATCTTGCTGCTCCACAATCAACTGGGGCCAGAAAGAAGGAAAAACGGGCGATTATACATCTTCCTTCTGCAGCTGGGTCACAGCCAGCTGCTCGTGTGGACGGATGCTCGCCAACTCTGCCAACATCAACTGTGGTGCCTGGGAACAGACCTCAGGTTCCAGGAAACAAGGACCGTGTTTCTAAGAAATGTGTGAGAAGTGGCAGCAGCAGGAGAGCCGTCCCCTGTTCCTGTGGCACAGCTGGCTGCAGTTTCCTCAACCATGCCTCTAAATTCAGCCTCTGCTTAGCAATGCCCCTTCCCTGCTGCAACCTCTAAGATGACTCTTTGAAGGCAGCAAAACCTCAAGCTTTGCTGCCCGGAGCAGGAGCCTTGCTGAGGTAGTGTATGGGAAACGCTGCAGTTAACAAGGGGTTAACACAAGTAAGAGGCTGCTGCCTCTTAAGAGAGCTAAAAATAACACGTCTGGCTCTGAATGTGCCAAAGGAATAGGTCTGCTGATGGCTTAAGTCACTTTCAGGGCACAATCATGCTAAGGATTAGCTTTACCCCAGTTACCTACTTTGGAATCTATTTATCTTCCTAGAGTCACTAGGTAAAACTCATCTGAAAGCTGGCTGGCATCGTGTATCAGAAGCTTCAGCAGAGCTTGCTGCCTGGAGAGGCGGCCTATTTACAGGCCTGTGTCTGGGTGGGCTGCTGGAGGCGGATGTGCGCTGCTCGGGCGCTGCTCCAGGGCAGCACCTCGCCAGGGCTCCTTGCAAAGCCCTCACGCAGGCTTTCTCACGAATCTCATGTTGACAAGGACAGGAAAAGGAAGCAGGCACGTGCTCCTGCTCCCTGTCTGTTCTGATGGGGATGCACACAAACAGCAGCAAACACCAGCTTATTTTTTAACGAGGGAAAGTTCAGAAAGATAAATGAATGCTCTTCAGCTTGCAACATGTCTACTGGTCCAAGGATTTCAGCAGTTCTTGTAATACTAAAACTCAGCATGCTGCTGCTTCCAGACTTTGTTCTTCTGTACGTAAGTGGAAGACAAGCCTCAATGGTTAAAAACTGCACCAAGCATCCAAAGCTGTGCTGTACATGGAACATATGAACAGGTGTGCTTCAAGCTATCAGGCTGTCAGGCTCCTGGATCCAGGCCAGCTGAGGGCTGGAGTTTTTCTGGCTCCTGAAGTCTGAACCCCATCCCCCCAACGCCCATTTGGCAAGCAAAGCTATTCAGTCTGCCTTATGCCAGCTGCCTTACCTGTTGTTGAGCTTGCTGCTCCTCAATGAAGTGTGAATTTGCTAATTGCAGCTCCCGGTCCAGACGGCTGTATTTGTCAGGTCCAGAGCTCCAATTCTGACTGCTGCTTTCACCCAGGAGTGCCTAAACAGATGCAGAAGTCCCTTAGCAGCAACACCTCTGTGTCTGCTCACAGCTGGTCTCAGGCAAGGAGGACAAGGCAACGCTCCTGTGCACATGCCTACAGCATCCTTTTCCCGCTGCTCTACTGGTATTCAGCCAGAGTGCTGGCACAAACTAAAACAGTGCAGTGCCAAATACCAGCATGGGAAATATCTGCAGCATGATTATTGCAGAAATGCTGCTCCACTAACAGGAGAGCTGGAGCACGACTGACAGACAGCGCAAGCAGGACGCCCGCACTGCCCAGAGGACTGGTAAAGGTCTGTTCAAGATGCAGCACTGTGTGCTAGGAGGATGTGTGAGCTGGGAAGTATCCAGATACATCGTGTTAATAGATGGACTGAACGCCATGCTGCTGATGACCAGGTCTGAAGGTCTGCATAAAGTACTTAACCAGATGAACTGACAGTAAAACAGTGTAATATAAACACAGCAGTGCTGTAGGCAGGAGTTGCGCTCTCTGATTCAGGTTGCAAGATTACACTCTATCTGCTCTATGACCTCAACACAGAAGCTAGTGCAAATCCAGCAGAGAAGTGGCTTTCCAGCTGAGGATATCTGGTCCCTGGAAGGAAGCTCTGATGCAGCTTCCGGAGGGAAGTCTGTGTTTGCCAGCCTCAGTCCACGAGGATCAGGTCACCACCAGCCAAAAGCAGGCCTCTCAGACACAGAGCCGTGCTGGAGAAGCTGCTGTAGCCCAGCCCAGCTGAGGCTCTGCGGACTTGAGGGAAGGCGAGGGGCTGGGGAAGGAAGATGGCAAGGGGAAATGAGTTTTCCTGACCAGATGTCACTGCATGAGCTGGGCCATATGGTCTCCTGCAGCTAGCAGTTTAAAGCAGCAAAACTTAGAGACAGCTACAGGCTTGTTTGAGGAAGGCAGTAAGGGACTTTGCTTCTCCAAGTTTTTGCCAAGCACATCAGTTAAGCCTGTAACGGGCTGACAAACCAGCTCTGTCCTTCTCAGAATCTTCTTGCAGTTCATCATTTTTGCCACAGGTGACAAAGACTGATGCAGCCCGATAGGGCACACCAACGCTGACAGAGGCAGCTCTGGAAGTCAGCTCAAAGATCTCCTTACAGTCTCACCAGCCAGGGAGAAGCATCTATTTCTATTCCTTAGATTACAAGTGCAGACAACCTGAGACTGCTTGAGCTTCTTCCATCTTCTCACAAGGTTAATTATCATGTGAAGCAGCTATTTGTGAAGGGATGTGGAGTCCTGGCTCCTAAATACAGCAGAGCACGGGGTTACGTTTATGGAATTGGATTCTGACTGTTCCTCCTGAGATGGAGGGAGATTCCCCCTTCTGCAGGGTGATGCAATGCTGATGGCTGTACACAAGCACTTCTGAAGATGGAGACAGATGGTGAGTGGTGACTTACTGCTTTGAGAGACAGGTTTGAAAGAGGGTGACAGCAACAAGCCTGACAAAACCAATGCTCTCAGATCAGTGAGACAGACGTGGCTCAAACACACAGCTTTGCTGCAGCATGCAAGCCCCTTCCCAGAACAAATGTTTGTAAGGTGATGTGCTACAAAGTGGGATATATATGGTACTTACAGCTTTAAAGGAGCTTTAACCATGCTATATGCTCTACTTCATGGTGTGGGTCTCCAGACTAAGTGATACGAAAGCTTCACCTTAACACATGTCTCAAAACAGCTGTTAGAGCTGATAAATCCTTCTAGCTCTTCCAAGTGCCAAATAACCACTGCATTCACTTAGCTTGCCCATTCTGATTCTCACCTGCCTGTTTTTTCTTTCAGCCAGTGCTTGCATGGAGGAGTTTGACATCTGATCCTTCATTTCCTGTTTGTTCAAAGAAAGAAGAAGTATGTAAGCATTGGATTTGAGGCGACTTTCAGCTTCAGTTTGCTACCAAGCTGTCTATACCCAGAAAGATTTCTTTGTGGTGAGTGAGGGAAGGGAAATTTTCTTTGAAAACATACAGTTTTGAAGAGTCTGAAAAAATGCTGTTAAAATCTCCACTGCAGTTCATTGCTTTACTAATAGTAGAACCAACAGCAATGGAATATTTTGAAAATATTCCTTATTTAGTACTCATTTTTATAGAATCAGATAATCATCTGGGTTGGAAGGGACCCTTAAAGGTCATTTAGTCCAACTCCTCTGCGATGAAGAAGGATATCTACAGCTAGATTAGACTGCCAGAAACACTTTGATTTGTATAATACTAGATTAATGTTCCCATTGACAGACTGTAAAGAAGTTATGTTCTTGAAGGTCTCGAGAACCCGTAGCTTGCACTTTATTCCCAGTTGTACCTGATTTAATCTTGCAAAGGACAAGATAGATTTCCTGTCCTACGGCCCTCCTCTCTGACTGTGTTTTCTCTGTTACTCATTGCATTTTGCCTTCCTACAGAAGACAGTTAGACCCTGGAGGCTCCTACTCCCAGTGCAAACCAGTTTAGTTTCTATAGTGCAGATGAGCAAGGAGCCAGCATGATCCAGCAGGAGCTGACTGACCTTACCCACCAGCAGAGTTCTGATGTCACCTGAAGACACACAGGTATGTTTTACTGCTCAGAGATGTATTATTTAAGCAACAGATCCCACCTGGTTACTTCTAATGCACAAACTGCTTTCTATCCCCATGGAAAACATAGGTCAATTAACTGCACGCCACCAGGAAAGAATTTCATTTACCACTGAGACACACTGCTCCAAAACCCATCAGGCAGCAGCTTTCAATCAACTGAGCAGCAGGCAGCAACTTTTCTTCAACTGAGGAAAAGAGGACCTAGAAAGCAGGCTTGCCTGATCCTGTTTGTTTCCAAAGCTGACTACACTGAGGACAAGGCAGCAAGCACCATGTCTGCTGCTGGGGCTGGTGTAGCTTCGGGATCAGTTCCCAGGCAGAGACCCTTAAGAACTGCCTCTGGACCACAGGACTGCAGGTAGAATAACAAGTTTGTTGCTAGCCACAGCAATGCAGCTTGTCAAGGAGGAACATCAGAGCCACGAGGGAAAGCAGAAACTAAGCTGCACTGAGTGTACTATTAATAGGGAGAAAACTTCCTAACCAGTGTGTTGGCAGGCAGTGAAGATTTCAGAAAGATTTCTTCTTCTTTAGTTATTACCAGCGAGCTGTTAAAATACTCTTCCTGCTTCTGAATCCTCCCTAACAGCTATGTGAATAAGGAGGCTCAGGGGAGACCTTATTGCTCTCTGTAACTACCTGAAGGGAGGCTGTAGTGAGCTGGGAATCAGCCTCTTCTCTCTGTAACTGGTGATAGGGCTAGAGGGAATGGCTTCAAGCTGCACCAGGGGACATTTAGGCTGGACAGTAGGAAATACTACTAACTGTTCTGCAAGAGTGGTCAGGCACTGGAACGGGCTGCCCAGGGAGGTGGTGGAATCACCAAGCCTGGAGGTGTTCAAGGAATGTCTGGATCTGTGTTGAGGGATATGGCATAGTGAGAACTAATTGATGATAGGTGGATGGTGGGACTGGATGATCTTGTAGGTCTTTTCCAACCTTAGTGTTCCTGTGATTCTGTGATTAAATGCTGCTGGTCTTGCAGGTGCTACTGAACTTCACTTTACCACTGCCTGAAGCACTGAGCTGTGTGAAGCTGCGGCCCAACAGGCAGAGCTTTGCCAGACCCACCTCTCTCTGAAGTACTGATATTTAAGAGTGTGAGTTTAAACTACAAAATCTTCCCTGAGTTAAAAATAAAACTAATGGCTGTTTTGACTGCTTTGTAGCAGGGGGAAGCCACATAAATAACACCATACTACAAAGAGATGTCAGTGTTCGAAGTGGACTCTGTTTCTGTCAACCAGCGATGCAAGCACTGAATAGGCAAAATTTCCTTTAACTCTGAAAGGAGACTTGCATAGCAGAAGGGTCTTTTAGTCTTCCTTTCCACTTTGTACAGGCTTCTAGATTCATCAGTGCAAGAGAAGCATGCTAGGAAACATGGCCCCTGCACCTGACCCCAGGCAGGCAGTCCTGCTGACATTGGAACATGTGATGTGGGGATGAGAAGGCAGCCTGAGGGCAAGCAGGTAGCAGACTTACTCTCTGCTCTCCAGTTCAGCACTGACCTAGTCACCCCATTGCCTTTTTTGAACCGCTCAAGCTGCCTTCTCTTTCCCTATCCCAGCCCTTGCTCCTTACCCTGACCACCTGCCGCGTGCTGGTGATGAAGGATTTTCTGATACCCAACTCCGTGGCATCCAGGTTGAACTTCCGAGGGTTTGCCTCAACGATGCATAGGGGAGGAGTCAAGGAGTCTGAGAATGGCTTTCAGTGCACACAGACAGACAAACCGCCCCGATGGGAGCCCGTGAAGAGGCACCTTTCCACTGTGCTGCACTTTTTTCTATAATTTGATTAGCAAAACGTTAGATGCTGGAGGAAGGAAAGCGTGGCAGAAACATTCAACATAGTACATGCACCAGAATGAGGTTTCTCTCCTGCTTTTTTTTTTTTTTCTCAGTTCTCCAATGCTGTGCAGTGCTTTCAGCTGAACACGAGGGAAAAGGAATAATTTTGGAAGCCAGCCTGAGTATGAGTGACTACACAGAAATCCAAATTCATATAACACAATGAGCTTCTAAGCACAAAGCATCTTATAATATACCTTGTCAAAGGGAATACAAAAGGGAAATTCTCTTGCTGAACTCATTTGCTGTTTGAGAAAAGCTGAAGTAAATGCAAAATTCAATCCCTGATAGTCCTGGTTCCTGCAAAAAATTAGCTACCAGCAAGAGCTGCTACGTAGCTGTTTCTTACAGCTTAGGAACTGCATGCCCCAACCTCCAAAGAACTCCAGAAAGGATATTAATTGTTTCATCCAAGTCTTCCAGGTCCCACTCAATGCTCCGCAGATTGTTCCTGAGCTCATTTGTGGTCCAGTCGATTTCTTCTCTTGTGGCAATGGAGGGATCCTGCAAGAGCTCTGTCCACCTCTGGAAGAGCCCCTGGGCAGTGTTCACAGCTTTCTGCACTTCTCTGCGGTTGGGGTGAAGAAAGAGAAGTGAAGGGACTGCATCAGCTGTTCTGCAGCAGTCGTGCTGGGACACGCCATGCCCAGAAGAGCTTGGAACTGCAGCCTCCCTGCAAGAGCCCTTCCTTCAACCACTTCTAGTTTATTTTGTGCAACAAGGATTCGCCATACCCACTAGACAACCCAGTCTCCTCTCCTGTTGAAGCACAAAGTGACAAGAAACAACTTACAGGCCAGCTACCACAACTAACAAAAGGACCAGTTTCAGCAGGAGTAGTTTCTGCTGAGTGACACAAAGGCGAGACAGGGCAGTGTGAGCGGCTGGACAAGGCTGCTCATGGCAATTAATGTTCTGCATTCCTCTAAAGACTACCTGAGCAAAATACCCCAAGGACAAACAACATTTACAGGAGCTGTCCCTGCAATAGTTAGGCAAATCGTTGAGTGCAGCATTGTTTATTTTAAGTTAGCGTTAAAAAACTATACGGCTATACTACACTGGCTTATGGGACAGAAGTCTTTTCTGCTGCTCTAAGCTTTTTGGAGACGAGTGCATTCACAACATGGGAACACAGGCTTTGCTGACAGCACTGAATGCTGCATTTGTGATTAGAGGCGAGCAGCAGGTAGCAATTCTCTGTACCTACAGACACTGCAGCCCTGGCCTGGGAACAAATCACCTAGGTCCAGGAGGAGCCAGGATGAAAGATGCAGACGATGTTTTGCTGGTGTGACAGCCAGCAGAAAGTCAGGATCCACGTAAGATGCAGGGATTTATCTCCAGCAAAGGAAATCTGTTTATCTGTTGGGAAAGTCCAGAAGGGATGAACCATGTCTGCACAAGACAGCAGCCATGTCTATTGCTCTATATCTGTCATTTCTAGAGCCCTAAGTTCAGCAGCTGTGCTCCATCCTCTTGCTGCTTGCAAGCAAAAGCTCTGTTTTTTTCACCTGTATGTACTTGGAAAAGCACCTACCAGCAGGAATTCAAAGCTGGACATCCTAGCAGGAGGAGTTACAAATGCAAGGAAAGCAAACTGAATGCCATGTGGCTCAACTCCTTCCACCTTAATCTGCTGGCTAATAATTAACACCAGGAAAAGCACAACATATCTCTCCCCTTCCAGCCCCTTCCCCTTGTGGCGTGGGAATCTCTCTGGAAAGTCTGACTGGCTGTTTGCTCCCCACCCACAGCAATTAGCATTTGTTCTCCCCAGCACTGGCTTAGCCTGGCAGCGATCCCCTTCTGCTGGCTGCCCTGCAGCCTTTCCCACACCTCCTGTGCTCACCTGGCTTTTCCCACCGCCCTTCCTGAGCACTGTGCCACTGCCACGTGGAGCAGGACAGCAACAGCAGGAGTTGAAAGTGGCTCCACGCTGAATTTTGGAAGGCTATCTTCTTTCCCCCTATTAATTACAGTTTCCCTTTCCTCTGACCTCAACTGCCTTTGTTTTGTGTTTGCCTTTGTTCAGGCTTTCCTCAGTGCCACTATCCACATAGGTTTCTTCCTAAGCCTGGTGCCTGATCCTCTCCCTCAGCACGGTGACCAGGCTCTGGTGCTCTGGGAATGCCCTCAATGAGGAGTGGCTTGCATTCAGCCACGCTCTGCCCATTGCACAGTGACATTTGCAACCTCACATCCCACATGCCGCTGATCGATGATAAGGACAGCTGGGCACGCTGCCCCCAAGCTGAGCAGCCATGCCAACATCCCAGGTGCTGCACCTGCAGCAAGCACATCTCCAGCTCACAGCATCCCTGCAGAGCTTCCAGCAGGGCCTTCTGCTGCTCAGAGCCCCTCTGAACATTGGCTTTGTGTGGGCACATCTCCGGCACACACCTCACAGGGGGAGTGGGAATGGCTTTGGGAATAAAAGCAGGGCATAGACCCTCGCAGAACTTTCAAGATTCCTAATGGCTTCTCACAGAACCCCAGATCCCCGCTAGGCCTTCACAGATCTCTCTCCCAGATCCCTGCTGACTCCTCAGCCCTCCCCAGACCCTTTTTGATTCCTCAGATCTCTGCTGACCCCTCAGCCCCCTTCCAGATCCCTGCTTACCCCCCAGCCCCCTCCGGATCCCTGCTGATCCCTCAGTCCCCCCCAAGATCCCTGTTGATCCCTCAGTCCCCCCCAAGATCCCTGTTGATCCCTCAGTCCCCCTCCAGCCCCAACCCTCCCCCATCCCCTCACGCCCCCAACTTCACTTTTCTCCTCAGAACTCCCCTCCCCTCACTCTTCTCCCCACAGACCCTCCCAGCCCTCACCCTCACCCCCCCTCCTTACATCCCCTTCCCATCCCATTCCCTCCCCCTCAAGGCCTCCCTATTATCCCAGCACTCATCCTCCTCCTCACAGCCGCCTTTCCCCCCCCGCCCCCCCACCCCCACTTCGCATCCCTAATCTCTCCTCTTCCTCCCCCCTCACAGACCCTTCCGCCGCCCCAACCCTCACCTTTCCTCTCACAGACCCAAACCCATCCCTCACCCCTTCACCACGAAGAACGGGTCCTCCATCGACATGATGGCGCCGACGCCGCCGAGTCGCCCCGGCTGCCCAGCGCTACGCCCTGCGCGCATGCGCGACAGCCCGCGCCCCACTGCCCGCCCCGTCCCGCCATGGCGGCGGGACTCTGGGTGAGCGCCTCCCCTCAGCGCGGGCACCGGCTGGACTGGGCTAGCCCAGCTACCAACTCCACAGTGCTCTCTGTTTGTGTCGCTCGCTGCCTCATTTCCACGGCTCTGTAACACCTCCAATGACCCCAGCACCTCGGTGGGCAGCCTGTGCCACTGTATCGCTGCTCTTGTGGAGGAGAAATGTTCCTCACACCCAACCTGAGCCTCCCCTGGCACAACTTGATGCCATCGCCTCTCATCCCATCGCTGTTGCCAGGAGCAGAGGCTGACCCAGCTCAGCACAGCCTCCTTTTAGGAGCTGTAGAGCAGCAAGGTCTCCCCTGGGCTCCCCCACGCCGTCCCCTCAGCCGCTCCCCATCACACTTGCTCCAGACCCCGCACAGCTCCGTGCTCAGGATGCTAACCCCCGGTATCCTCTCCCCACTGACCGAAGGGCGTTGTCCCTACCTGCACTTCTCTCACATAGCTGCAGCCCAGCTGCCCTAGCCAAGGTGATGCTTGCTTTGCTTGTGGAAAACCCATTAGCACAGATGCCTCCTCAGCATGGGAACCAGGTGAGTGGCTTTTGCAATCACAGCACGCTTACTCACGAGTGAGGGGTGAGGACACATGTCGGACTGGTTTATGGGGCTGTGGGGTGAGGAAAGACAGCTGCCTGCTGCTCCGGCCATCCCCATACCAGAGAAACCACAGGTTGGGTGCAGCGCAGCATGAGGTAGCTGTATGCTGGGCTAATCATAGGGAAAGCGTGAACTTCACAGGAACAAAAAAGGCAACCTTTTCTTTGATGCTGGAAACGATGAACATTTTTTGCATGAAAACCACTCAGATTGAGCTGCTGTTGTTTCAGAGTGGGCTCATCTTGCTGTCAAGCTCAGACTTTTGGCTTGGAAGGGCCAGGAGGCTTTCAGCTTTCCTCATACTGGTGAGTGGCAGCCAGCTGCAGAACTGGCCAGGGAGGATCTGATGAAACACTGTGCTGGGAAGCTCCAGCTCATCACAATCCAAACTGCAAGAAAGTACAGGGCTCACTGAATGCTTTATCAAGAGAATTCCTGTGGCATGTACGTACATGCACAGGGCTGTGTGTGATCCCATGCTAGCTGGCAGCCTGCTGCTAAGAAGGTGCATTTGACATACAAGAGATGTCTCTTCTTTTGGGGGAAAAGCTACATTGGTTTGAGTTTGAATTTGCAAGAATTGAGATTGATTTTGTTGTTGGTTTCTTTTCCACCCAGACAAGGTTTTACAGCTCAAAAAAGAAGCAATAAAGCACAAATGGGTTTCAGATGCTTCTATGTGATTTTTTTTTTTTTTTCTTCTCCTCCTTTGCATTTTTAGTAAAAGTTGCTGAAGATTTTTCAATGGTGGTTGTGAGAGGAGGGTTAAGCCAGTGATAACTGGATGGGAAGCATCAGTCTGTGGCTAAACAGTCAGCGCTATGGTGGGCAGCAAGGCCTTATGTCATGGTTTGTAAATAGGTTTTGTGAGCCTCATTTTTAGAAACCTGTGGTGACTTAACTGAGAAGTGAGAAAGGGGCAGACAGCACCAAGGCTGTAAGATGCAGGATGCTAGCCACACTCAGGGCTTACCTACAGCTAAAAAGTGATTATTTACCTGTGTAATGAGGTGCTGGTGTGGAGAGAATCCTCGTTACTTAATGAATTGGTGACAGGCTGGCCCCACCTATGGAGTGGATAGTGGGAGCTGCACTGTTGTGGTGGGTCAAAGAGGAGGTTTAGGGCACCCACATGCATGGCCAGAGAATCTATTCCAGGCATTAATTAAGAGGAACTTTCTCTGGCCGCCTCACCCCATCACAATTCCTTATTACCTCCATGTCCACGGGTGCCTTTTGTACCCAGCATCCTTGTCACACAATCAGCCTTGCAACACAGAGCAAGGTGGCAAAGGAACGTCCTTACAAGAGGAAAGGGGCACAGACATTTTCTTTTTCACATTCTCTTCATTTCGGAAAGAGGGATTCAACACGGAGAGGATCCTGGGCTGAATGGGGCTGATCTGGTGGGGAGCAACCAGCCCATGGCAGGGGCTGGGACTGGGTGGGCTTTGAGGTCCCTTTGAATCCAACCATTCTGTGTGATTCCATGGTTCTACAGTACCATGATTTTATGATTCTGTGACCTGCTCTGCCCTTGATTGCCACTCTGAGGATGCAATCCCTCGCTGTTAGCTTGGA